GTTGTCAACTTTTTGAAGGCCATAGATAGGCCTAAATTAAATGTTTTTAATTGTGTACCAGTTTAATGTTGAATATTATTTATGATTTTAATGTTTTTAGAAGTTGTTGCTGGCGCAAGTATAAAACTTGTAGAATTTATCCTCTACCACTGTCTTCTGACATGTAGTTTATTTATCAAAGCATAAGCATATATATGAAATAAATGGTGCTTTTTACGGCATATTAATGCTACACTACAGTAAAATATGATATAAATGTTATTATCTAGAGAAACTGTTTAAACGTAGGTTAAACTATGTTAACTTTTCCTTTTAGCGACTGTATACGATCAAGGGCTAGCATGATAAAGATTTGTTTTATTACATTATTTATGTGTTAATTTGTTTCTAGAATTGCGTGCAAAGCTACTCGAGGGCTATCTGTGCCAGCCGTTGCTAATTTAAAAAGGATAATTTACATGGAAAAAAGTTAGTCAACACCACCATCGCCACTTCTTTGGCAAACTCTAAACGAATAGTGCAGTTTGTCGTCACATTATAACGTTTCCACAGATCAAAAGTGAAACGTGTTCGGTAATGGAATTAGAACGTGTGAGCCACAGATTGAAAGGTAAGAACCCCAACCACCTAACTATTATTTATCTACGAAAAGGCTTAGAATTTTCTTCAGAATCAAACTACATATATATCAATAGAGTGTAAAGCTAGTTCCTAGTGTGACAAAATACACCTCGGATAGAAACATCAAACTTCTTTAGTAAGAAATATGATAATTATAATCATTCCAGATATAAAAAAGCAAATTGTAAAATATTTTTACACTTTACTTAACCAGTTAGTTCAGAAATAATATATTTTTTTAAACAAGTCGTCAAAAAGTATAGACAGAAAGATAGATATTAATTTCAAATAATATTGGAATACATCATAGTTCGAATACACCATTTAAAGTTTTAAATACACATAATTAAATAATTAGTAATATATGATGTATTTATATTAAAAAATTCTTATATAAATTACTACATATAACAACTAGAACAAAATAAATTTATCGCATATAATTAAGTTTCACATCATTTTTGACAAGAAAAGGTGTTGCCTAGGTTCTGTCCAGAGGGTGCTGCCACCTGGACGCACTTTAAAATATCATGCCTGGCATTTTGCCAAGTGACCTCTCGTGAGCACTCAGGCCCCTCAAGAATTATTTCTGGTTAATTTTACTTGGTACTCAGCTCTAAATATTATCTTATGCCTTACATCTTAGTTAAAACGTTTTAGCTCAACTCTCCATAGACAAACACGTTTACATGAAAAGTTTGCACGAATGGGGATATAAAGTCAAACACAGAGAGTCACCTCTGGAGAACAAATGTCAACGTCCTAGAAAACATTTGACATTATCTAGTTCGTGCAGTGCTACGTCATTTCGTTATCTTTATAGTGCGCATTTCCTTATACCCAGATGTCAAAAGAATGGAAAAAGAACAACCTTGTGTTTTTCATTAGTCACAGTCAATATTCAAATTAAAAGAAATATTTCCAACCTATTCGGGTTACTAAAAGTATATAGAAGTTACTATATAACATTCACGTTACGACACAATCTCTGTTATATCGAATTACATCTGTTCCATAGGACAGGACTAAAACATTATGAGTCGTTCCACTGCCGTCAAGTTAATTAAAACTAATAAAATATTTGGATCTTTCTTCCAAACAACAGTAAACCTGTCCTAATTAATCACACGCCCAATTTTTAATTTAGTAACAAACTGAACATCTAATATCAGTCTTTTGGAAATTGGTGTCGTTTTTAATACCAGTCTTTTGATAATTGATGTTGTTTAAAGACAATCCAAGAAACTAATAATGCTTATAGTTGTACTTCATTGTAATCCTATGAAACAAGTTATACAGAACAGCATTTATTCAAAGTTAAAAGAAAATCTTAAACTGTAAGAGGTTTTAGATAATACTAGCCTCAAATCGCTGTGGTTGTCTCATTTCTGAGAAACAAGTTATACAGAACAGCCTTTATTTCTGAGAAAAGCACTATTCAGCGGTTTCGAATGAGTGGAATAATAATTATTCATGTTGTTCAATATAAGTAAATAAGTTCTTTAACCTTGTAACTAAAGACCACGAACTTTAATATAGGGTAATAGTGTTTTATATGTGAAAAATGTCCCTCGTTGTCAACATCCAATCGAAATGTAGTAAACTTTTGAGTTCTGAATTAGAAGAAATATAAAACAGAGGAATAACTATGACAAATGTTTTAGTCCTTTATACTAAGATGATGTTCATAAAAAGAAAATTATTTTGAAATGATAGACCTTCTGGGTACAACAAACTTAAAAATTAAACGTGGAAGAAGTAAAATTATTTTAGTGGTGTCCCGGCATGGTCAGATGAATAGGGCGCTCGATTCGCAATCTGCGGGTCGCGAGTTCGAATTCCCGTCCCACCAAACATATTCGGCCGTGGGGGCGTTATAATGTGACGGTCAATCCCACTATTCGTTGGTAAAAGAGTTGGCGGTGGGTGGTGATGACTAGCTGCCTTCCCTCTTGTCTTACACTGCTAAATTAGGGACGGCTAGCCCAGATAGCCCTCGTGTAGCTTTGCGCGAAATTCAAACACACAAACAATTTTACTGGTAAATTTCACCATGATATTCTTCCATAAAAAAAAATGTTGCTTTTTGAAGAAACGTAACAGCTTTCCAATTAGTACTTTAACGTCATTCTGTCAGGGTAAAATTGTAGTAAGTCTAATAGCTTTTTACTTCTGTAGTTTTATTAAACCATTAAAACTTTATGGCCATACACACTGCGAAAAAATCTAAGTTGGACATTCCAAAATATTCTGGAACATGTATCTCTCTTTTTTTTATTTTTAACTTGAACGACGATTCAAGTATATTTCAAAATACAAAACAAATAAGTCTTCAAGAATCTAAGAAATACTATATCGAAAATCTTGAGGGTATATATATATTCACCTTATTTTCAGCTTTCAACAACAACTCGTACATATTAATGTGCAGGAAATACGAATTATTTGAAAAGAAAAATGGAATTTAAATATATAATTTGTAAAAATAATAAGTTGCCACTTCCAAAGGACCATACTTTCACTTAATAACTACTACATGGCCGACTAGAGTTGCTGTTATGTTCAGTTTCCAAATAAAACTACTTTTCTTGCTTCTTCAAGGATCAATGTTAATCTAACATAAGAGCTGAAGAAATGGTGTTAAGGCTGTGATCCAACCAAACCTCATAAATGAATGCATTTGTTTATGTCGTCATGTTATGATTAAATTTGTTTAATTTTAGTTGTTAAACTATCTCATTAACTATTATCGTCACTGAATTCTTGCACAATCAGACAATCTGGTCAAACCTGATTTCAATCAGTACGGGCAGAATGAGCCTTTCAGATATTGCTGTTATTTGGGGCAGACCATACAAGTTTAACTACTTTCTACCATTAGCCAGTCTGTATATATATATAAAAAAGAATCAAAACGTTCAATCGACTTTTTAGATAAATTACAACACGTTTGCATAACAAAAGCCATATCACGCCTGTCAAAAGATATTTTCTTTGTTCTTTAAAAAATTTCCATGGAAAACCAATGATAAACAGACTAACAACCATGCTTGTGATCTTTAGTTATATTTTATGGCAAACTGGCCATACAATATTCTAGGTGATTTGTAGTTAGCTCTTTGTTTACAAAACTGACAAACAATCGCATCGTTGACGTTTCGTTATGTCGTAATGGTAATAATGGTATGGTTTTCAAGCACGCTTCTGTGTGGCCTGTTGCACAATTGTTTGTTTGTTTGTTGTTTTTAGAGCAAAGTTACACATTGGGCTATATGCACTCTGTCCACCGCGAGGAATCGAACCCCAGATTTTAGCGTTGTAAGTTCGTAAAATTTACCGCTGACCCACCGGGAGACCAACGGCAAATTGACCAAACAAACCTCTTCCTAATCAGTAATAAGAATGCATAGGAAAAAACTAAACAAGCATATGTTAACAACAATCACAAAGAGGTTAAATCACTTTTCTTATCGTAACAAAATAGTGTGACAGCAACTATAACAAACAACCTCAAAAAACATCATCGGAATAAATAATAAAATCGTACGACAATAGCTATGGCAAAACGCTTAAGCGAACATCACTATCATAAGTAACTAATAAACTTACATTAGAATTGTAAGAAAAAGTACCAATGAACATCTTTTTTCATATGTAACTAATAAAAGTACTTGACAACAATATAGCAAAAGCTCAAATGACTTACTTCGTCATAAATACAATGTGTATACCAAAAATAATGGTGAACAGGTCAATCGGCCTACTTTGTGACCTTTTCTAAGGTCGCTAACAAAACCATTTGCAAAGAAATGAAACGATCCTATGTATTTAATTATCAAAGTTACATGACAATTACAATGTCAAAAACGTCAATAAACCTTTCTCCATCTTGCCTTATAGTGAAATTTGGTGTGGAAACGATGCTAAAAATCTTCATTCAAATGAATATTCTTTGTTGATTTTGTTCTATTACGCGTAGGTATCATTTACCACACCAACTAAAAACTAATAAACACTGACAGACATACAATGTCTTTATATATTTCTTGACTTTTCAGTATAATAGCTCGTAACTCCTCATGATTTGGTATGACATTTTGAACAAAGAATTTTCAAAACACTATTTTCAACAAGTTCGGCAATACATTCACCGCTTTTGATGCAGGAGAATAATGTGAATGTTATGTAAAAGTATTCAAGCATTAGTAATTAATTTATCTTACAATGATGTGCATAAATTGTTCTTGATTAGTTCTCAAGCTCGACTTTTACGTTGTAAGCCATCAATGGCAGAATTACAGTAAAATGTATGATAATACATTTCTATTGGATACATAGAAAGATAATTAGCAGGAAACAACAGAAGAAAAATGTCTTACCTTAACTCTAGCAATACGTCTATAGCAAAACTCGTCTTGAGTTACTGGGTTGGCTTCTATGGTAACCCCAGAGAGGGTCAGAGACCGACCGTTGTCCCCTTGCTGCAGCAGGAATACCTCGTTCTGGCTTACTGACTAAAAGTTTGACTGCTCGATCTTAGAATTCACAAGTATAAATGGAAAGTTAAGTGCGCATATCAAAGGTAGATTGCTTTCCGAGGTGCACTGAGCTTCTGAATAGACTCGCGCACACGGAGATAATATGGCATTGAAGTTTCCTCTAAAATGTTAGCTCGAGCCTCTCGGCAAACCACGCGACTACACCAGCGCCGTCTCGCTTTCTGACTAAACACGCACATGCGCAGACAAGTTCTGAACACCGACTGTTTACTGGCGCCGCTCTGGAAGGCCTTGAGTAAAGTTTGGAAGGACCTTGCCACGAACTGGATGTGTCCTGGGCCACAAAGCATCTTGGAGAAAACGGGTCTCTGCTGGATGCACGTGTCTTTCTACTTGACTCACGCCATTCACGTGCCTTACCTCAAGCCTACTAATGTTCAAAATGTTCACTTGATAGTTACCTCAAAAAAGTCGCATATCATCTCAAGATTTTTCAGTTTTTGTATAGTTGAAATTTTTACTAGCTAATTCCAAAAACAGATGCTGCAAGGAAGAAGAACATTTTAGAATACAGACTTCAAAAATAAAATATATAGAAGTTCTATTATATTGCAACAAAACAGTGACCTGTTGAAGAGAATAACTTCCTCAAAAGTGGAACCTCAAAGCTTACGGAGAGGAATACATTTTGATTTGATATTATACTGTGTATTCATTTAACAACTTGCACCCAAACTATAACTCAAGATGTATTACTCTACTTGTATTACTACGATCATGCAGAATGTTAGTAGTTTCAACTTTCATGCTTCTCTGTGGCATGCTCCACATACCCTAACGACAAGTTCAACATGTTCTCGTAATAACAATAAGCATTAATGCTCTTTGTTATAATTTGCTTCAAGTACCGTTACGTAAAGTTACACATGTTTGACATGGAACGTTGTATCTCAATCACACTATCCAGTGTTGCACTTTTACATAACATATTTCTCATTGTTACAATGTAACGTAATTTCTATGTATTTCATACTCTCAAATTTGGGTGAACGTTATAAGCTTCTCTTAGTGTCTATATCAAACATAAGCAGTAATTCTATGTCTATGTGACTGTAGAGTGTAGGCTATACAACTTTAGTAAAACTTCTATGCTTCTCTCACTGTCAACTATCAAACTCTGTAAGAACTTGAATGCCTCTTACTGTTTTCCATCAAACTCTTACTGTCTTCTACCAAACTTTGTAAGAACTTGCGCTCCTCTTACTGTCTTTTATCAAACTTTGTCCGGACTTGAATGCTTCTTACTGTCTTCTATCAAACTTTGTCAGGACTTGAATGCTTCTTACTGTCTTCCATCAAACTTTGTTAGAACTTGCATGCTTCTTACTGTCTTCTATTAAAGATTTTCAGAACTTGAATGCCTCTTACTGTCTTCTATCAAACTTTGTCAGGGGTTCTATATTTCTGTTACTGTCTTCCATCAAACTTTGTCAGAATTTTCATGCCTCTTACTGTCTTCTATCAAACTTTGTCAAAACTTGCATGCCTTTTATCGTCTTCTATCAAACTTTTTCAGATTTGAATGCCTCTTGCTATCTTCTACCAAACGTTGTCAAATCTTGTATGCTTCAAACTTTGTCAGAACTTGCATGCCTCTAGTTGTCTTCTATCAAACTTTGTCAGAACTTGTCTGCCTCTTACTGTCTTCTATCAAACTTTGTCAGAAATTGCATGCCTCTTACTGTCTTCTATCAAACTTTGTCAGAACTTGCATGCCTCATACTGTGTTTTATCAAAGGTTGTCAGAACTTGTCTGCCTCTTACTGTCTTCTATGAAACTTTGTCAGACCTAGCACGCCTCATGCTGTCTTCTATCACACTCTGTCAGGATTTGCATGCCTCATACTGTCTTCTATCAAACTCTGTCAGAACTTGCATGCCTCCTACTGTCTTCAATCAAACTTTGTCAGGACTTTCATGTTTCTCTTACTGGCTTCTATCAAACTTTGTAAGACTTTGCACACTTCTCTCACAATCTTCTATCAAACTTTGTCGGAACTTGCATGTTTTTGTTACTGTCATCTATCAAACTCTATCAGAACTTGCATGCCTCTTACTGACTTCTGTCAAACTTTGTGAGAACTTGTTTGCCTCTTACTGTCTTCTCTATCACAGTTCCAGAGCACTGGCACGCCTTCCTCAATATTTACTATCAAACTTTAGCGTAACCTGTCTACGCATCTCTTAATATCCACTATTAAATTTTGCAGAACCTGTATGTTTCTATTACTGCCTATCTTGAAACTTAAACAAAAATTATACACCTATCGTACTGTTGACGAACAAACTATTCCAGAACTTGTATTCGTTTTTCACTGTAAATTCTCAAACTTTAGTAAATCTCCTATGCCTCTCATATGGTTCAACATCTAGCTGTAGCAGTACTTGCACGGTTTTCCTGCTGTTGATTTCAGGATTTAGCAGAAACTGTATATTCTACAACACTGTTTTACTCTCTGCTACCTAACTTGGTCAAAATTTGCACGCTTTTTTTATTGTCGATTCTCAAATTTGAACAGAAATTTTATATCTCTCTTAATGTCTACTATCAGACTCGTATACCTCTCAAATCCTCTATTACCAAAAATATGTACGCCATTCTTATTGTCTACTAACTATATGATTTTTTTATTAATACTTTCAACAACAGTATTGGTTATATTATTTAGTATATCCAATATCATTAGTTTTTGATCTATTGTGTGTTACAATAATATTATTATAAAGATTTTGTGGCATTGTTAGTTTAATACATATATTTAGAATTAACCTAAATCTCCTAAGCTGGCCGAACCTTGTGAGATATTGTTGGGATTATGGCCGAAAATATTGTTAACAGCGAGGGTATCCAAATGACGAAACAATGCATACGAATCTTTATAAATAGAAACGTAAGTAATGTATATTTAATTAGCTATACTGACTTCCAGGTTGATCTGTAGTTTCAATATAAGTACTTAGCCTGCTCTGATCGGAAGTTAACTTTAATCAAACTGACATAGCTTGTGCATTTATTGTACCTGCATACCTATCTCCCTAACGTTTACTATCAAACTGGAGTGTAATTTCTATGCTCCTCTTACTGTACACTGTTAAACTATGACAGAAATTTTGTGCTTCTTAACCATTTGTTGATTAATATGCTATCCACCTTTTTAACGTTGTTTCACTTTGACAGAATGTGTATGCCTATCATCCTGCCCAGTGTTTTATCTTGACAGAAATTAATTGTCCATTATATAATGAGCACTGTTACATTGTCACAGAATTCGTATACCTATTATACTGCTCGCAATTTCACTTGTACAGAAAGTTGAGTTCTTCTAATATTATTTAAAGTTTCATCTTGACCAAAAACAAAGTATGTTATTGCGTATGACAAACGGTTGCGTGTATCTGATTTTGTCGGATTTTACAATTTAGCAGAACTGCATTATCATATTACTGTCTACTGCAACACCCGGTAGATCTTATATATCCAATACACTGCCCATTATTATTTCACTTTGACAGAGCTTGCATTATTCTAATACTATCTACAGTTGCTACTTGGGGAACTACCATGACTGTTTTATTGTTTACTGTTACACTGCTCAAGAAATTGTAAAACTGGCATGCTCTCTGCTTTTGTGTGTAGTTGTAATATTGTACAATTCTATACATTGACATATTTATATGTCTGTGATGGTGTTTAGGATATGATGATACATCAAATAACACAAACATGCAAAACTGTCACAATGAAACTGATTTTTATCTTTCAATGATACAAACCACGACGTACAGTCTTACGTTCTAGAGCTCTTTTCGCTACGGTTATATTTCCCAGCGAAATACTTTTGTAAACGTTAGCACTGTTAAACTTCTTACAAAAGCTGCACATAGCATACTTATTTATTGTTTATGGTATTTATATAGTCATAAAAATATCATTTCTTCCTGTTCTAATATGATTTTCAATAGGAATGTTTTATCAAGTTTCTCTAACTCGTAGTTTTCGAATGTATATTAATTATTTGAAACAAAGTTGTGTTAAATAGGAAGGGCAGTTTATACTCTACTTCGCTTAAGCCAAGTACAAATTAATAGAATCTTATAGAAAAATGTTTTGAATATGAAAGAAGCTTGTTGAGATACACAGCAACCTAAAGCTGGCTTATTTTAAGTAATACTTTGTCGGAACAAATCAATTTACTCTGTTATGTTTGTTATCCCAGCTTTGTTAGTAGAACTGAACACCTTCGTTGAGTTCACCAATTAGGAAAATTCTTCGTGGTAGATCATGATTCAACCGTGATCAAGATTGTACTTGTATTTTATAATCCTCCGATGCAACGTTTACAAGAACTTCTTATTGAATGCATGGATTAACAAGTTCTATGTAAGTTACACTAATGATATTGGTTTATCAACAACGGGATTTACCATACATATAAGGAGTACCTATTCTTTGTTTTTTTATTAAATGAAACAAGACGAGGTAATGAGTTTAAAGTCATGACTTCAACGGATTTCAGAATCATTTGTTTATAGTTTATACAAAGTAATTAAGAGAGTCAACTTGGAATGTTTAAAGATGCCGTTTCACGGATTTAATTAAAGTTTATTTATTTCTATGCATAGAGTGTTTATATTCTATTTAACTTTCTATTTTGTCACTGATGCTACAATACAAGTTTATCTAAAAGATTTTACAGTATAATGAAAATAAGATGATTTTAATTAGGTTTCTACTAGTCAACTGAATATAAGTTATTTCTCTGCATTTACGAATTGCGAATAAAATAAACTAGTGATATAAGATTTAGCTTAAAAAGTAACTTATAACCTTACTACCGTTAATAGGTAAAGCTATCTGTTGACACGTGATTTAAAAGTATTTTGTTCTGATATTATAGGATTTGCTAGGTTTAAACTACTAGAAAGGGCAATTTAATGATTTTTCACCTCATATGCAAATAGATTATGATTAGAAGTTTTATTTCACTTTGTTTGTCCAATACTAAATGGTGTGATACTAAGATCACTGACATTTGTTTATGTGTGAATTTCATGGTCAGTGGGCTAAATTAGTGGAGATTACAAAGAGTTTTCAATAA